ATAAGACGATGGAGCTCACTCTTACATCTGCCACCATTGCTTTGGCATCGAAGTCATTCCAGTTCCTTTCCACGGATGAGGATGTTCTTTCAAAGCCGAGAGGTGCTGATGCACCCTACCGGATCCGCAACCATACTGGTTTCGATCTACATATCTGGGCTGATATTGGTGCGGATGAGGATGGACCGGCTGCTAGATTGGCTGACGGTGAGGAGTACCCTTGGCGTTTCGAGGACTCGACTTCCATGCGTGAGACGCTTGCACCTGAGGGGCATGCCGGGCTTGTTGGCATCAAGCTCGAAGGAAGTGGATTTGAAAGCGTGAACCGGATCCCGGTTGTTAGGGAAGGTGAAATCCTCTACAGCTTGAAGCCCAAGAAGGATGGTGTCCTTCATCGACTCCTGGCGGATGTCAAGTTAGGCACCGACAATGTGAAATATATCACCTTCCGCTCGCCGCTGGTTGTCGAAAACAGCACGCAGATCCCTGTGGAGCTGGGCGTCTTCAGTCCCCAAGAAGGCCATTTGCTCAAGATCGAGAAAATCCTTCCTGGAGAGTCGCGACCTGCACCGGTCGGGGCAGCTTACATGCATTCTCTTGTGATCCGCCCCGATCAAGGGTTCGGATACGACTGGTCAAATGAGCAGCTCCACTGGAAAGACCTACTACGTCGTCCGACTCGGACTATCAAGTGCCTCAGTGAAGGCGGGCAGCAGTCACCTCCCTTCTATTTCCAGATGCACGCTAGCTACAATGATCGGGACTCTCTCACGGGCGTCTATCCTTACATGAGGATCAAAATCTTCGCGCCTGTCGAGATTCAGAATCTTCTTCCTTACGATTTCAAGTATCGCATTTACGACAAGAACACAAGAAAGGACTGGACGAATTTCCTGCGCAAGGGTGGGGTTAGCCCTGTTCATGTCGTTGAGCTCTCTCACCTATTGTTACTCAGCGTTGACCTAGAGGATACGGTATTCAAGCAAAGTGACTTTGCAATCATCAATGGCAACTCTCAAGATTTCAAGAGGGAGCATACCTTGTCTCTGAAGGATGAGCGAGGTATCCAGCTGAGATTGAAACTCCACTATTTCAGAGTTCCCGACAGTGGTGGTGCCTTCAAGGTCTCTGTCTACAGCCCGTACCTCATCTTGAACAAGACTGGTTTGCCCATGGAGATCCAGAGCAAGGCTTTCCTGCAATCGGCCCGATCGGCTGCTGGGCAAGGATTGAGAGCCGATTCTAGGAACGGCGGACGTACGCTCCCATACATGTATTCCTACCATACGGATGATCAGAAGAACCGGTCTATTCTGCGAATAGGTGACTCCGCGTGGAGTAAGCCCCAGAGTTTTGAGGCCATTGGAAGCACGTTTGAGGTCATTCTCCCAGACCAACATGGCAAATCCGAATTCCATTCCGGGGTTTCTGTCGCCGAGGGCGAGGGCAAATACAAGATGACCAAAGTCGTGACAATCGCACCCCGGTTTGTTCTGAAGAACAAGTTGAGTGAAGACATACTGGTCCGTGAGCCTGGCTCATCGAATGTTCTCAATCTCAAGAGTGGCGAGCTTGTACCTCTCCATTTCTTGCGCCAAGTTGCGGAGAAACAGCTCTGCCTGTGCTTCCCGGGCGTTAATAACCAGTGGTCCTCTCCTTTCAACATCGCGGACATTGGAACGGTGCATGTCAAACTGGCAAAGGCCCAACAGCGTCAGAAACTTATCAAAGTCGACGTGGTCATGGAAGGTGCAACGCTCTTCATCCATTTCAGCTTTGAGACTCGGAACTGGCCATTCTCTATGCGGAATGAGAGCGACATGGAATTCATCTTCTATCAAGCTGTGAGTACTTTGGATTGATATTCAGAAAGGTCATCTGCTAACTAAGTTGAAGAATCCGAACGTCGAAGAAGACGAGGAAGACAGAACCAATGGCTGGCGACCAATACGTTACCGACTCCCTCCGCGCAGCATCATGCCTTACGCCTGGGACTATCCGGCAACCAAGAACAAGTCTCTCGTACTGACGTGCAAGGGCAAAGAAAGGCATATTAGGCTTGCGGAGATTGGTAATCTGATCCCCATGAGAATCCCGCCCACTCAATATGGCGAGACTCAGAAGATTATCGATATCAACATCGTTGCCGACGGCCCAACTCAGACTTTGATGTTGTCCAACTTCAAGCAGTCTAAGAGTATGTACAAGCAGAAAGACAGGGGACAGGCATCCCAGAGCAGTTTGAGCACCGGCTTTGAGGTCAAGGAACTTGACTCGGATGTCAACTTCAAGGCTCAACTTCGCCTGGGAGGAATCGGCATCTCTCTCATCAACCAGAACCTCAAGGAATTGCTGTATCTGACGTTCCGCGAGATTGACATCAAGTTCCGGGAGTCAAGAATCTACCAGACCTTGAATACCACCATCAAATGGATCCAGATCGACAACCAATTGTATGGTGGTATTTTCCCAATCTTGCTCTACCCCAGTGTGGTCCCCAAGACCGGCAAGGAAATGGAGGCACACCCGATCTTCCACACAATGGTGACTCGTGTGAAGGATGACTCTTATGGTGTAATTTATATCAAGTATGCCACGGTTCTCGTGCAGCAAATGACCCTGGAGCTTGACGAGGACTTCATCTTTGCAATGTTGGACTTCGTTAAGGTACCCGGTGCTTCGTGGTCGGAAGAACATGAGGGCAGGCTCTGTGATGAGGATTTGAATATCCCAGAACCGCAAACGGAAGGCACTGTTTCAGACGTCTACTTCGAGCTCCTCCACCTGCAGCCAATGCAACTCGATATCTCCTTCATGCGTACTGAGCGCGTGAATGCGGAGGACACCATGCAGCCATCCAATCCTCTGATGTTCTTTGTGCATGTCATGACCATGTCGATGGGCAATGTGAACGACGCGCCGATCCGACTCAACGCGCTTATGCTAGAAAATGCCCGTGTCTCTCTTGGGGTTCTTGTCAGTAATATCCAGAGTCACTACACCCAGGAGTTCTTACGACAGGTGCACGTGGTTCTGGGGTCGGCTGATTTCTTGGGCAATCCCGTCGGATTATTCAACAATGTCAGCTCTGGAGTGGCTGCCATCTTCTACGAGCCTTACCAGGGTCTTGTTATGACCGATCGACCTCAAGAGCTGGGCATTGGCATCGCAAAGGGTGCGACCAGCTTTGTGAAGAAGTCTGTCTTTGGTTTTTCTGACAGCATGGCCAAGCTCACCGGAAGTATGTCCAAGGGTCTGGCCGCCGCCACCCTAGACAAAGAGTTTCAAGATCAGCGACGAATGTCCAAGTCGCGAAATCGACCAAAGCACGCTCTGTATGGTATTACTGCTGGTGGCAATGCCTTCGCAACGAGTCTGGCAAGCGGCATCGGAGGACTCGCACGCCACCCTCTCCAGGGTGCCGAAAAGGAAGGCATCCAAGGTTTCTTCAAGGGTGTCGGAAAGGGTGTTCTCGGCCTAGCCACGAAACCCGCCATCGGCGCCTTTGATCTTGCATCAAGTATGTATGCCCATCAGTTAGACATGTGTCGATACTAACATGCGTGTAGATCTTGCCGAGGGAGTCCGTAACACCACCACCGTTTTCGACGCGGAAGGCCTTGATCGTGTTCGCCTCACACGCTTCATTGGCACCGACGGCATCGTCCGGCCGTACTCGCAGCGCGAAGCGCTTGGGCAGTTCTGGCTCAAGACGGCCGATGACGGCAAGTTCTTCAACGAGGACTACATCGCGCACCTTGAGCTTCCGGGTCGAGACATGCTGGTCATGTTGACCTACGACCGGATCATCCTCGTGCGCACGAAGAAGCTCCGCACGGAATGGGATATGCGCCTGAAGGACATCCAGACCATCTCTAAAGAGCGGACTGGAATGAGCATAACTCTCAAGGGTGGTGCTAATGGTCCATTCATCCCGGTGCAGGACGAGAGTTCGCGGAACTGGCTCTATCGGCAAATTGCTGTTGGTAAGTGATGATCTGAGGTGTTTTTGCTACGTACAGGGCTGATTCGGATCTAGCTGTGAACGCTTTCAATGAGAAGTATAATGCCCGTGGGTAGACTCGACTGGCTATGAGAGCCCACTGGGGTAATTTTAATGGAGGACAGAAGCTGTGTGTTGGAGACTGATAATTACCTGTTTATGGTGGGGCAGAGTGGATACAATTTGCTCCAAGCTGGATCTCATCTTAGTCGAGATCTTTTGGAGTAGTGAAGCCAGCGATATGACCCTGCAATTGAAGCCTGAAATGGATGACGTGTTGATGTTTTGTTTTCTCTGCTCTTGCAGTTAAAGCGACTGTACATATTCATATTCTTTTTTTTGTCCCTTTCCCCCCCGTATCTTTCACGTTCGCTTGACTGAGACTCTTCCTTTGACCGTGCGCTAGTTGCAAGCTCCCTTTTTTTTTTTGCATCTTTCTTTACGAGCGGTATTGAATTGATGATCCCTGCCCTACCGATTAGGAAGGTAGATTGAAAGAGGAGAAACTCAGGTTAGCTTCATGTTACCTCCATGTTACCATCGATAGAAACTCTGTGCTGTGGATCCTCTACTCCACCGTGGTGAACGTTTAGCTATCAAAAACACAAAAACACAATCTCCACCGACAAGTCGATAAGACAGTTCTCGTCAAAAGTTACCTCAATTGGTTAAGATTTTCCAGGACGACTTAGGATACGAAGCTGTGATTTTGGTAGCGACTCTAGCGAGCCAGCAGGCTAGAGATGGATCCATCTCCATCTAGAGTTCTAGACTGGTAACTACATGACAGGTACGTCCACTGATACATACTTGGCCGTCATATACTTCCGGTGTCTCTTACCAATCCTCTTACCAGTACCATGCATGTCGTACAAGGTTCAACCTTGTGTGACGGTAATTGACTGATGGACTGACTGACTGACTTGATACAGACTTCTCCTGGACATGCTAATAACACCTGCACCATAGCATGCAGTCACAGCGTCATTGATGTAGGATGGCGACAGCAACCATCTTTCATCACAGACAATTCTCGCTGTTCTTCCTTTGGGTCTGGTAAGTTCAGTTCTGGGAGGGGCACCGGACTCCCTGACCGACTTCATCTCCGACGCTGAAAAGCTGCTAACCCGTCGTGGCTGGAACTTTTCCAGTTTGGTGCAGCTGGCAGGCCTCTACTTTTTCACCAAAGGTTTTCTGCTGACCCGCCAGATCCTGGAGGCCAGAAGCGCCTGCGATGAGCCTCCGAGAGCTCTCTGGCCTTCCGCCCATGGAGATGTTGGTGGTTGTTGGCTCCGGCCAACCTTCAAGAAAGCTGTCATTCTGATCATTGACGCGCTGCGCTACGACTTTACCATCCCCTACTCTCCTTCCATCCAAGCAGCGGAAGAAAAGCCATACCATAATGCCCTCACCGTCCTGCACACCCTCGCAAGCGAGAGACCGCGCAACGCCCTCCTCCTCCCCTTTCTTGCTGACCCCCCGACCACCACCCTCCAACGCCTCAAAGCTCTGACAACAGGCACTCTCCCGACCTTCATTGAAGCCGGCTCCAACTTCGCTGGTTCTGCCCTCACTGAAGACAACCTCCTCGACCAGCTCCTCTCGGTTCCCTCATCTTCCTCTCCCTCATCCAGCACCGCGCAATCCAATCCACACTCGGATCACAATCCTAAGCAACGGCGCCTCGTCCACCTCGGCGACGACACTTGGCTCAAACTCTACCCGGACCATTTCCTCCCACATCTCTCCCACCCCTTCCCCTCCTTCGTCGTCGAAGACCTCCACACCGTCGACACCGGCGTCACCACCCACCTCCTTCCCCTCCTGCGCAATGACACCCTCCGCTGCGAATGGCTCGTGATCATTGGCCACTTTCTGGGGGTCGACCACGTCGGCCACCGGTTCGGGGCCGCGCATCCGCTCATGCGGAATAAACTCCAGCAGATGGATGCGGTGGTGCGCGAGGTGGTGACGGCTCTAGACGATGCTGACGAGGAGACCCTTTTGGTCGTCATGGGGGACCATGGGATGGATGAGAATGGCAATCATGGCGGGGAGACAATGGAGGAGGTTCTAGCTGCTGTGTGGTTATATTCACCTCGGACGTTTGTGGGGAGAAGGGTCGGTGGTGGTGGTTATGATGATCACGACGAGGGGGCACCGGCGGTACCCCAGGTGGATATCGTTTCGACGCTGGCGCTGCTGCTTGGGGTGCCAATTCCGTTTAATAACCTTGGGAGGCCTATTGAAGAGGTGTTTGCTTTCGGCTCCGGAGGATGCGATAAACAGGAAGAGAAAATAGATTGGCGACGGTTGGTGAGGGCGAATGCGCTAGCTGCTGCACAGATGGAGCGGTTTCATGCCGAGTACACGAGGCTTTATGGGAGTCATAGGGGTGGTGTTGAGGTCCGCATTGAAAGGTTTGTTCAGGGTGATATAGATTTCGGGGACGAGGGCTCGTTGCAGCGGGCTTATCGGGGGTTGAGGGAATACCAGGCGGAGATGTTGAGGGGATACCGGCGGGTTTGGGCGCAGTTCAACGTCTTGAATATGGTCGAGGGGGTGGTGATTCTGCTGCTGTGCGTTGTTGCAATGGTCTGCGCTCTCGTTGATGGGTCTTGCTTCGGTGGGCCGAAAATCAAGCCGAAGGCGACAATGGCTGGGAGCGTGGTGGGTATTTTGGCTGCAGCGGCTCACTTCGTCTATGCAGACCCTGCATATCACGTTGTCGAGAGTCTCATCTTAGGCGCTACCATAGCCAGTCTGACCGGTTTGATCGCCGGGGCTAACTACAATGCTGTGCGCCGGTGCTGGCAACCCGGATTCAACATTGGGAAGTTGCAGGCCATGTTGTTTCCGCTGGCTCTCGCGGCTGGCTTCGCATCAAACTCGTACACTATCTGGGAAGATGAGATCCTGCTGTTCTTCCTCTCCAGCTTCGGGATCTGCACATTGGCCTCTGCCACCCACCCAACCTCTTCCGTTGTGTTTCTGCTACTAATCCGCCTCGCCTCCTATAGCCGCCTGTGTCGAGAAGAACAACTGCCCTCGTGCCGGACCACCTTCTACCGACTCGAGAACTATGTCCCCTGGCGTATCCTCGCCCCATTTCTGACTGTCTTCGTTATACTTTCGGCAAACAGACACTTGGGAGATAGATTCAAGCACACGTGGAACACACCCTACATTGCTGCACTCTTTCTCCACATTCCGTTCTGGACACTTCAGACAGCCAGCGAGCAGGGCTGGCTCTCCAACATCATCACAGACTACACCTCCAAGAATGTATGTATAGTGATCGCTCGAATCGTGCTGCTCGCCAGTATATTTGGCCTTGGATCCGTCTTGCTGCCCTCTCATCACTACGATAAACCACACATTCTCACCACTGCCATCTTGCTAGTATGTGTCCTGGTGAGTCCCCCCACCAGCGGTGTTCTGCTTGCATGCCTCTACACCCAACTCCTCTTGCTCCCACGCACTACAAGCCACCGAGTCGGACCCACCATCGCCGCTCTCCTGGGCTCATTCTACTTCTTCACGACCGGCCACAACGCCACCTTTGCCTCTATCCAGTGGAAAGCCGCGTACACTGGCTTTCGGGACGTGGTGTATCCATGGTCCCCGCTGCTGGTCGGGGTGAACGCGTTCGCGGGGCCGATTCTGGCGGCGTGCGCTGTTCCGTTCTTCTTCACCCCGCTTGGCGCGTCTCCTTCGCGAGAGAGCACGGCAGCCCGCGCCCAGATGATCCTCGCACATGGTACCGCTTACACCCTCTGGGCCGCCGCCACGGCCATCTGGGCGTGTCTTCTCCGACGACATCTGATGTTGTTCGCCATCTTTTGCCCGCGGTTCCTACTGGCGGGGACGGTGATGTTAATTGTGGATGCGATTGGGTTAGTGAACTCGCTTGTAATGTAGATAGCCAGTAGTCAGCTTCAGAAAGGGCTCAATTTGAGAAGTGATTGCGCAATTTCTTCCTTGGTAGGTTAGGCTATATATAATGAATGACAGTAGTTGGATATTCCATGATCCTTCAGTTGACGTCAACAATGATAGACACTCTGTCCCCCCTGCCTTCCACACCAGCCACAACCTCCCCTGCGTTGTTCCAGTGAGACGTTCTCCTCCGAACCTCAACCTCATCTCAACCTCAGCCTCAACCCCTACTCCCAATCTTCTCCCTCCCTCCCAGCAAGCGGCACCGCAATGCAATCACTGGCAGTAATGCACCCAACAAGCCTAGTCATCAACCCCCGCAACCACCACAAGGGGTGGTCCTCGCGAGAGAAAATCATCAGCATATCTTCCACCCATTTAACACCTC